TAAAAATTACAATGAAGAATAATAAAAATACAAAATCATGTGGTTCTTTAAATAATGCTAATGAAAATATTGATAAATTCAAGTTCCAAGCGACTTGTAAAAACACAGACAACTTTTGGCTTTCAAAGTTTTTGTGTCTTAGAATTGTGTATATTTAGAGGCTGTTCATTTGCTTTGTTTCTTCACCAATATTTGTGTAGAAGCCAGAATTATGTCACAACTCACATGCGAAGACACACACACACACACACACACACACACACACAGGTTTAGGAAGATTCTTTTAAGAGTCTACAAATGCTTATAATTTAGAAACTTCTCCAATTCATTTAGTAATGAATTATCAACTTTGTATTATCAAGTTGAAAATACACTGAAACAGTGTTTTTCAAACTTTGATATGCATAGCAATCACTACAAAAGCTTGTTGAATGCAAATTCCCTTTCCCTAAACAAAAGAATCTGTGTCTGATGTGTCATGTGGAGGGTAAGGAATTCACATTTGTGTAAGCTCCCCAGGTGTATTCTAATGAATGTGACTAAATTTCTTTTCTAGGAATATGGATGGGCAAGTATTAATTAATTACCTTATTTATTTATTTATATTTTAGTTAGTTGACGTACAGTGCAATATTGGTTTCAGGAGTAGAATTCAGTGATTCATCACCTACATACAACACCCAGTGCTCATCATAACAAGTGCCCTCCTTTTTAAAAATATTTATTTATTCATTTTGAGGGGGGAGAGGAAGAGTGGGAGAGAGAGAGAATCCCAAGCAGGCTCTGCACTGTCAGTGCTGAGCCCAACATTGGGCTTGATCTCAACGAATCTTGAGATCATGACCTGAGCCAAAATCAAGAGTTGGACACTTAGCCAACTGAGCCACTTAGGTGCCCCAACAAGTGCCCTCCCTAATACCTATCACCCATCTAACCCATCCTCCTCCCACCTCCCTCCATCAACCCTCAGTTTGTTCTCTATCTTTAAGAGTCTCTTGTAGTTTGTTTCCCTCTTTTCTCTTTCCCTCACTTCCCATATGTTCATCTGTTTTGTTTCTTAAATTCCACATATGAGTGAAATCATATGATATTTGTCTTTCTCCAATTGGCTTATTTCTCTTAGCATAATATATTCTAGCTCCATCCATGTCATTGCAAATGACAAGATTTCATTCTTTTTGATGGCTGATTAATATTCCATTGTATGTATATAGCACATCTTCTTATACATTCATCAGTTGATGGACATTTGGGCTCTCTCCATAGTTTGGCTATTGTTGATAATGCTGCTATAAACACTGGGGTGCATGAACCCCCCAAAATCTGTATTTTTGTATCCTTTGGGTAAATAACCTACTATTGCAATTGTTGGGTCATATGGTAGTTCTAGTTTTACTTCTTTGAGGACCCTTCATATGGTTCTCCAGAATGGCTGCACCAGTCTACATTCCCACAAACAGTGCAAGAGGGTTCCCCTGTCTCCACATCCTTGCCAACACCTGTTGTTTCTTGTGGTGTTAATTTTAACTATTCTGATAGGTGTGAGGTCAGTATCTCATCATGGTTTTGATTTGTATTTCCCTGATGATGAGTGACGTTGACCATCTTTATGTGTGTCTCTTAGCCACCCGGATGTCTTCTTTAGAAAAGTGTCTGTCTATTCATGTCTTCTGTGGGTGGATAATTAAAATGGGTAATTTAACAAGATTATTCATGTTACTTAAACTCCAACCACCAAGTGTAGTACCTTATGACTCTGCTGACCTTTTTCTGACAACATGATAACTCATTTAATGAACATAAGCCTCAGGTTCTGGTAGTACTTATTGAGGTAATAATTATGTATTTTTAAAGTATAAATAATAATGATTTATAGTATTTGCATAGGACTTTAAGTTAAAAACCACTTTAACCTATATATCTTGTGTTTTTACTTCATCCCAAACAATGGGGCTGTTACAATAATTTAAGACAAGTGAATTCTAAAGCTTTCCCAATAAGCCAGCAAGTCCAAGGGAGGACCATAAGCAATCAAACTACTTTAAAGTCTCCTTACAGCCTCATTTTAAAACCTAGGTAATATTTCTAGTTTATTTAAAGCTCTCTAGGAAAAGAGGTTAACCTTTAAAATGTCAGAGCCTCTGTGCTAGCTTGGGCTTTAATCATCGTAATTTGTGCAAAAGAGGCAGACTTGGAAAACCTTCTGCTCCTGCAGTGTTACAGTAAAGGCATCACTTGAGAAAGCCAGATTGAAAAAGTCCAGACGTTTTGTTAAAATTTCCTACTGTGTTATATATGGGTCTCCTGTTTCCATCAAGTTAGCCTTCATTTATCCCTTAAATTCCAGTCTATTGATATTTTGTCAGAGGTGTCTATGACCCCTCAGTCTAAATAAAGCCCCGTTTTTGAGACTTTCTATCCTTCATTGCATTTATCACAATTGTAATTATATATTTTTTGCATGGTTCATTATTTAATGTCTGTGTCCCTAATGGATTGTGAATTCCTCAAATGCAGGGATTGTGTTTGTTATCAACTGTTAAATTGAAGCCCTAACCCTGTGGCCTGGCACAGAGAGGCACCTAATTCATACTTGAATGAATGAATGAAGAGTAAGAAAATGTTCCCTCATAAAAGGTCCCAGTGTTTTGTATTTACAAGCATCAAAGTACCCTAGAAAACTGTCTTTGTTGTTTGGGATATGGCTGGGAAGTGAGGACAGATTTTGAAACAGCAGTGTTGGGAAGTCCCATTCAATTCACCTGAATGTAGGTGGAGAGAGTTTGGCAAAGTTAACTGAAAAAATGCTGACTGAGGAATACTAGACGCATAAAATAAAATTACAGTTTGCTTTAACTGCCTTATATTGTCTACCTGCCTTGTAGATAGAATGTGTGCACTAAAACTTTTGACATTTCATCTGAAATGCTGGAGACTGGATGTGGATGGGGGAGCATGTGGTGGGGGTGGGGGGGCTTGGTGGGGGCATCAACATATACCCACCAGCAGGGCTCTGATGACAAAAAATTTCAGGGGGAATCAGAAACAAATCTATAGATAAAATTGTGATTACATTAAGAACTAATGCATGCATCAAGGATGATTGATTCTTCCTCTAGAAGATACTATCTTCTAAAGCATCTAGAGGGTCTTAGTGATACTGTTACAACAAGTAGTTATTAAAAAATGAACTCTATATTTATTTGGACAAAGGGAAAGCTGAGTGAAAACATGTTAGTGTCTTGCATTATGTCTGGGAAAAGATATTAGTGAAACCATAATGTCAAAACCAAGGGAGATTGGAAGATATGCATGGGGGAGTAAGGCAAAACCATGAAAATGGCATGCTTTGTAATTCTATATGAACAGTGTACCAACTGTTACCCTGCATAGATACAACTTCAGAATTTGAGGTGGTTCTTTAAGGCAGATAGTTACCATCCTAAGATGTTTTCTTTTAGTCCTTTTGTATCTCTCTTACACTGAAACTCAACCAGGAAAAAAAGGAGGTAGTTTCAATCTCTTCTTGAGACTTAGATCTTTTCAATGGTATGGGTGAAGAACAGGTATTAGGGGACAGTTTGGGATTTGGATATACCCTAATATTTCCAAGTAAGGGCTACCCTCCACTTGACTGATGACCTCTTGTTCTTACATAATTAATTAATTTGGATATTCAAGGGGCAATCCCTTGGTGCTCATTACACACGCTAAGTCTAAGGGCATTATCAGAGAGCACTAGAACTCTACAGGCTTCTTTGAAAGCCTCTAGTACTACTGACTGTCACAGTACCATTCACTCAGACAACTGGGTGTTAAGTTTTCAGAGCTTGAATATTAAGAAGTATGTGATCCCAAGATAAGTAAATGGTTTAACATATTTGTATTCAACATGCCAGCGTTTGGTAGTTAACAGAACAATTGGGAGCAAAACTTATCAGGTTAGGGTGTTTTGTCTATCCTTTTGTTATCTTACATCTTGCAAAAGTAGCTTAAACTCTGTGCTAATATTGTAGAACTGTAAAATATGGTAATAGTAGTGTTATGAGTATGGATATGAGTTAATTACATAATTTGTTTTTATGAATGTCTGGCAGTAATAAGAACTATATAAGGAGAGATTTTATTATTATTATTCTGTATTAGCGGGTGTGTGTATTCACATGGGGACTGATGAAATGAACTAAAAAGTTGAATTACAAAAAAAAAAAAAAAAACCTGCAATTTTATAGCATGCCACTCTAATAGCACTTGGAGTTCTTTTTCAGGTGAGAAAGAAAATTGTCTTTTAATTTGTTCCTTAACTCTGTTTCTCTCTCTTCAGTCTTGTTGACTATTCCTCTTCCCTAGATTTGTTCGTTTGGACAAGTCTCCACCTTAAGCTGATACAATTTAACTTTAACATAGCTCAAAAGTTTTTTGTTTTGTTTTTGTTTTTGTTTTTGTTTTTCATGTCCATACCTATGACAACTTGGAGAATTTTATTTATAGCTAAAAACCTACAGTTAAATTTGGGTAGCTTCCAAATTTCCATCAGTAAGAACTGTACCTTACCTTATATTTATAGATGTAAAACTTGATCTAATACATGAAGGTTTCTAGGATCAGAACCAATATCTGGAGCCACTGTCTACATTTTTTTCTTTAGTCTGTTGCCCTTTAACGTTGTTTTGGATTGATTTTTATGCTTTCTTAACAGGTATATTTTCTTATACAAAAGAGTCAAGAAATTATTTTCCAACATAAGCAAAAGTTTTTGCCTATATAACAGAAAACAGAACTTGAAACAAATTACATGTGCAACTCTAATTAATGATACCTACACATCTCTTCTTTCACTTAAATAACATCCCAAGCAAAACCTCCAAAATCTCCAAATATGCTTTTGTTCTTTTTCATCTGCGGGGATCAATGCTCTTAGATTTGGATCAAAGTATATTATAGTTCAGATCACTCTTTGTTTCTTTTTTTATTTCTTTCCCTCCCCCCGCCCCCTACAGTTTATTGCTTTTGCTTCTTTATTCTTCATCCTGGTTTCGATCACAACCTTTTGCCTGGAGACACATGAAGCTTTCAATATTGTTAAAAACAAGACAGAACCAGTCATCAATGGCACAAGCGTTGTTCTGCAATATGAAATCGAAACGGATCCTGCCTTGACGTATGTAGAAGGAGTGTGTGTGGTGTGGTTTACTTTTGAATTTTTAGTCCGTATCATTTTTTCCCCTAATAAACTTGAATTCATCAAAAATCTCTTGAATATCATTGACTTTGTGGCCATCCTACCCTTCTACTTAGAGGTGGGACTCAGTGGGCTGTCATCCAAAGCTGCTAAAGATGTACTTGGCTTCCTCAGGGTGGTAAGATTTGTGAGGATCCTGAGAATCTTCAAGCTCACCCGCCATTTTGTAGGTCTGAGGGTGCTTGGACACACTCTTCGAGCTAGCACTAATGAATTTTTGCTGCTGATAATCTTCCTGGCTCTAGGAGTTTTGATATTTGCTACTATGATCTACTATGCCGAGAGAGTAGGAGCTCAACCTAACGACCCTTCAGCTAGTGAGCACACGCAGTTTAAAAACATTCCAATTGGCTTCTGGTGGGCTGTAGTGACCATGACTACCTTGGGCTATGGGGATATGTACCCCCAAACATGGTCAGGGATGCTGGTGGGAGCCCTGTGTGCTCTGGCTGGAGTGCTGACAATAGCCATGCCAGTGCCTGTCATTGTCAACAACTTTGGGATGTACTACTCCTTGGCAATGGCGAAGCAGAAACTTCCAAGGAAAAGAAAGAAGCACATCCCTCCTGCCCCTCAGGCAAGCTCACCTACTTTTTGCAAGACAGAATTAAATATGGCCTGTAATAGCACACAGGGTGACACGTGTCTGGGCAAAGACAATCGGCTTCTGGAACATAACAGATCAGGTAAGGCACAATTTCAAATGCATGCCATTAAATACTTTATAGACCAGTATGTCCCTTAGGTAGAAGGCAACCATTTTCATTCTCTGTAAACTTTCATGAGTTTTCAGTTCTACCCCTTCGCAAAACATGTGTTTGTATCAGGCTTGTAGATAGCTAGACTGTAGCCTGTAGCTTTTCTCAGTAGATTCCAAGTAGAAGCCTGCGTAGCTGGTCTATAGAGTTTTCCTGCTTTAGTGGGAATGCCCTCTGCTGATGGTGCCAATATTTTCTTTTGCCTGTTTGTTGCTCTTGTGCCAATGTTTCTTTGTTCCCCTGCACGATGTGATGGTATGATATTGGCCATTTTCCATCTTTCATTCTCAAAATGTTGCTTTCCATATCATTTGGCTTGGCGTGTTTGTCTCAGTTTTATCTCTGCCACATGGGGCCATGCATCTCAACCTAATTCACAAGAAGCAGTTACTTAAAAAGAATGGATGCTTATACTTGAAAAGCCTGAACACCAAAAAGGTGATATGGAAGATAGCCCTTTTGATAATACAAGTTGTTGCTAGTAATATTCTGGAGGGTTGATTAAATTTTCATGATTGTTAACTTAGGTAGGATCTTCAGTATAATCCCTTTAGATTGGGTAAAATGCTATGTGATATAATAGACTCACCATTCTGGAGATAGATGATCTGCTTTGTCTAATCAATGGCAAAGTTGAATTTCCCTGTGGATTTCCTTTTTTCTACACTACGCATTGGGTGCTCTGTTCCCTCCCAAAATGAATTTTGGGTGATATATTGCTGAATCCCTTCTCCTCTCCATTGCCATAAATAATCTAGAGAACATCAACTGATAAGTGATGTTCATTTTGCCAAAGTTATAGGCAGTAGTGTCCTCTCTATTGTGTATGGGTACAGATGAAATATTTTGTAGATTAAACAATTTAATTAGCTTTGAGCCCACTAGGAAAATTTAAGATATGTGCATTCCCTGTAACTTAGATATATTTAATATTTTTCTTGTAAAAAAAAGATTTATGATAATCCTATGTGAATACTTTTGCATAATTCAGAAATGACACCAATTACACAGAGCAAGCAAGCAAACAAACAAAAAAGGCAAGTAACATTTCCATAGGTCCCTTCATTAGTTTCCAGAAGTTTTTGTGAAGTAAGTGGGGAAAAAAATGTGGCTGGAACTAAAATGCTTTCTTAAATATATTATTCATAAAGATCTTTTTGTTCATTTAGTACATTGTTCTGCAGATTCTGTCAATATATCTAAAAACTATTAGGCCAAGAATGTCTTTATGAATAGTGGAGTTTAGTTGATGTTGGTCTCATCAGACTGTTCTCAGTATACCTGTGCAGATTCCTTATGAAGGGCATGGAAAAAGAGGACAAACTCTCAACCTGGGTAAATATTGTTATAACAAGCTAGCATCTAGGCCAATAGGATGTAAATGTCTTCGGCAAGCATATAGAAGTAAACAGTTGTTTCAAGGGCATTTGGAGAAGTTAATCTTATTCCTTCATTATGCTCAAAAAATATTTTTCATTTCAAAAAGGAGAACCTGGACATAAAGTGAGATTTTGGATTTATTTTATTAATATTTTGGGGGAAATTACTTTCAGCAAATATTAAAAGCCTGTGTCTTAACTCCAAAGACAAATATGTACCTCGGAGTTTTTCCTTAAGTAGGCTCCACTTTTAAAGATTCCTATTCACAGTAACTAGAAAGCATGTCAAAAATCTTAAGATATTAATGTGTGTGCTAGTTCATTATCACACTTGTTTTGAATTCATATTAGTTCTGTGAAAGTCAGTTTCCTACTAAATGGGATCCAAAATGGAATTGAAATTTCCCAAGAACATTTCTCTCCTTTTCAATACATTTCCATTTTGCTCCATGTAGATTTTTGTAATGAGTGATGAAAATCCTTTTTCTTATCATGATGTGATTACTGTGTTTTGTATATGGAGTGACTGTACTATGGACATTCAGTGTAAACTCTTTGTACTGTCTCATTTCCTCATCCATCACTGTCTGTCAATGGGCATGGTGCTGTGACCAGTGTTATCAGGTGACGACAGTACAGGAAGTGAGCCGCCATTATCACCCCCAGAAAGGCTCCCCATCAGACGCTCTAGTACCAGAGACAAAAACAGAAGAGGGGAAACATGTTTCCTACTGACAACAGGTGATTACACGTGTGCTTCTGATGGAGGGATCAGGAAAGGTAGGCATGCATTTAATCAGATCCTAACAGGTGACTTAGAAATTAAGTGCTACTAATATATGGAGTGATATAAATGCTCTTTCGTCATTTTCTAGGAAAAACTGCACACAGTGTTGTTTCACATTTCTCATCATCTCTTTTCTCATTATAAACATTTAAAGTACATATCATAACAGTACACTTGACTGTCATATCTGAAAGGTATTTCATCTTTCTTTTTCTTTCTTTTCTTTCTTTCTTTCTTTCTTTCTTTCTTTCTTTCTTTCTTTCTTCATTCATTTCTGTCTTCATTCATTTCGGTCTTCATTCATTCATTCATTCATTCTTGTTTTTGGTTTTCCATTTGTCTATGGGAAGAATTGTAATGGGGTATTTAAAAATTAAGTTGCTCATCTAATTATCTTAATATAATATACTCAGCAGTCTTTAAAAGTTATCTTTTAAACTACAAGTAATAAAACTCAGTAATTGGCTCTATGCATATATTTGATAAGTAATTGATAGAACAATAAGGCTTTTTTCAAAGAAAAGCTTTAAACATTCTCTAATTAAATCTCTTATCCAGTATTTGGGCAGTCTTTGCCATGATTTATCTGAATGTCACAAGGTTAAAAAGATATAACATCCCTGGCCATATAAAACAGTATATCCAATCACTTAAAAGGCTACTGGTGTACTTATATAATGTGATACAGAATTTCTCTTCAAGGCAATACTAATAATTTTAAGTTTATTACTATTGTCAACCCACATTGAACTGTCACTTGCACACAGAAGATACTCAATAACACTTGTTGAATGAGTATATTTTGTTGGTTAGGCATCTTGGTCAAGGAATAGAACAGTATTGAAGCACCACTCCACCATGTGCTTCCAATTTTCTAGATTATGCCACTGTCTCTGACCATTCCCTAGGTGCTGTTTTTTGTTTTTGTTTTGAGTAAACTTTATGGATCTCAGGACAATTGGGCCCTTTTACCTGCTCCTTAAGAAATAATTTTGTGACATTACCTACCCTGGTCCAAGGGCTGATATGCTCTTTGATTACTCCTACTTTGATAATTCTGTTTGCTTTATTGCCATGGTTCTCTTTCTCTGTTTATTGACAGAATAGAGAAAGAACTATAATTATTTCTTATGCAATGTACTGAATTTGAATGAAAACCAATCCAAAACTTTCATATTAGTGCAACTGTGTTTTAAAAATACTTCACTTTTTGCTATTCATTGCAGTTTCTCCCAATTGAATACTTTAACATTTTAAGCCTTCAATATTTATTTTGTGATGTCTTCTTTGAAATGTCTCATTACCCATATTGTACTTCTCTTTCATTGCTTCTGAACACTTTTTATTGTCCTGTCTCCATGCCTTTGATCTCAAAAGAGAAGTCAGACTCTTCTTTTATTGCTTTAGTATGTAATATTTCAAATACTTCTTCATTTCAGCTACTTCCATTCCTCTGCATCTATTCTTTATACCAAAATATATTTCAATTATTTGAATATGTTTATTTGATTGTTTGCTAATTTACATTTAAATATTAAGTGCTAGAACAATTTTTTAAATATTTTATGATAGTTAATATCCTATCATTGTACTTAAGCAAAATATGTATACATACATTAACTGATGATAATAACGTATAACTAATAATTTATTGTATAGAACATTATATTTTAAGTACATTACATATCTTAACCCACTATATATGTGTATATATATATATATGTATATATATGTATATATGTATTTATATGTAATGTGTGGCTATATTTTTATACATTTTTGAACATCACATAATAAAGTATCACATCCAATGCTTATACTAAGGTTACATGGTTAAGAACTTAGCTAAATTTTTTTCCTTCCACTGTCAGACAATATTTGAATTTTAAACTATCAAAGGAGATCACATATGAAAAAATACTTTGCAAATTATAAAACATTATGCAAATATAGAATTTTTCTGTAAAATGGCAAAGTTTCATGAGCAAAGCAATTAATAAGATATTTAGTTTGTATGGAAAAATTATATATAAAATTCTATTTCACAAAGACAAAATTCTCTTTATCAATGAGCACATCTTTGAAAATTCATCTATGGGCTTTTATTCTTTGTCATTTCTCATCATAATCAACTTCTTTTTTCATTCTTGCTTGGTTTTTTTTACACTACTGTGTTTTTCCTCCCAGTCCTTGTAACATTTTGGCTAACTTCACTTATTTTTTTTAGTGTGTTTTCTTGTCATGTTTATCAGGAATCTATTCTTCTCTTGTTTCCTTTTATGTAGATTATAGATTTCTGCTATTACTCTTATTCAGGCATTTATTTCCTAAATGATCCCTTTTTTATCTTTCAAGTTGGTCTTTCAACTGATTTGATTTTAGTGTGCTGAAAATTCTCCCCTGTACAGATGAAAAGAAATTACCAGATTCCCACTGAATTCTTTTTCTACCAACAAGTATGAATATAGTTGGACATACATTAAGAAAATTTATGGATTCCCTGTAAGAATGAACTCCCAATACTTAGAACCTGTGTTTTTATTTATTCAGTAGTTTTTAGGATATCATATTACATACACAAAAACATACCCATTGATAGTACATTGCTAGGCAGTTTCAATATTTCCCCATATAAGCACATGCTTTTGACAACCATATAATTGGGGCGCCTGGGTGGTTCAGTCGGTTAAGCGTCCGACTTCGGCTCAGGTCATGATCTTGCAGTCCCTGAGTTCGAGCCCCGCGTCAGGCTCTGTGCTGACAGCTCAGAGCCTGGAGCCTGTTTCAGATTCTGTGTCTCCCTCTCTCTCTGACCCTCCTCTGTTCATGCTCTGTCTCTCTCTGTCTCAAAAGTAAATAAATGTTAAAAAAATAAAAAAACTAAAAAAAAAGGACCATATAATAGGCACACCTTGTATTTAGATGCCAATTCCAAGTAGGTTCAATATTGTTTATTCTCATGAATTATATTTTTAACCATTCCACTCAATAAAAAGTTTGCTTAAGCAAAACCTTATCAAATTTTGTATCAGAAATGAACCTGCAGAATAAAAAATACATATATTCAATGAATAACGTATAATTTTACTAAATACTTATTATTAAATTAGAAGGGAAGTCTTTTCAAATTAACACCGAAATTATAGTTATTAAAGTAAAAGGACTTATAAACAGAATAGATAATATTTATGTTAAAAACTGTAATTCAGAATAATAATTGAACATTAAGAATGGGAACCAAGATTTACATATGACTAGGGTGATTAACATAAAACGATCAAGTAAATTTTTACCTTTTTGGAGGTCCTGTAGGGAGATTACATGGTCAACTAGGATAAATTATTCTTCATATAATTCCCAAAGTTATACTTCCAATGTCTTTACAGAAGAGCAGTAATGACTAGCTCTTCAGGAGCATGGAGGTCCCTGTGTAAGGATAAATTATCTGCAATTCTTTTTTAATTATTTAAGACATCCTCTTATTAAGTATTCCATCATCCTCTGGAATGTTTTATATCTCTAAATGCTAACAAAGCTTATTGGCATATAATCCTCTCATTAGCAGAAAGGATGTCCTAGAGAATTTTACAATAGGTTATGGATGGCATAAATTTCCATCTACAAAATCTCAAGGAAGACCGCTGAAAGTTTCTGTGTGTGTGTATGGGGAAGGACGTTTCTGTCCAGTCCAGCTTCTCCCACAGTAGAGCAGTTATTACAGTCTGTGTCCATTCTTTTACTGGCTGCTTGAAAATCAAATAATCACTAACTCACTGAAAATGTTTCTTCTTTTCTAGTGAAAGGAGGAGAGATAGTATTAGCTTCTTCCCCAGAAGTTCCATGAAAATTAAAAAAAGTACCTGAGAGGAACACAGGGAAGCACAATAGGCCCATTTTCTTTCTCATATACTAACATGCACACCGAGGGCTAATCAGAGCCCAAGGAATATGTCCTGAGGCTAAGGAATCCATGAAGTTTAGTGAAGTTGTATCCACTTGCTCAGCTTTGGCTGAGGGAATTTCATTTTCCTGTTCGACAACACTTTTTTTCAGTGGACTTGTCAGAACATTTATTTCCTGACTAGTTTTTCTTATGACTGAATCCTACATTTGGTTCTTGACTACTTTTTCAATCAATAGTTGTCCTGCTTTTAAGACAGTTCACTTCTAACTTTACATGGTGCTAACCACCCCATTGAACTGCCTCTACTCTTTTTCTAATAAATAATGCTACAATATATGAATCTTCCCAAAGGTGACTTTGATGGGAATGTTGCTTGAGTGACTAAGGAAAACCACTGGGTTAAAGCTTGTGAGGAGGATCTTTTATTCCGTAAGTCCATGATAATCACGTACAGTTGATTAGAACGCAAGATAATAGAAAAAGTGAATTATGATCAAATGGTTCTCAGTTCTCGGCAGTGGAGAGCTAACTGAAAACATCACATCATAAAGTTCAGACTGTAATTCACTGAAATTATGACTCAATTTATATTTCATTTCCTTCCTTTTTTCTTTACATTTTTTTATCCAAAGATACAGAAATGGGCATTCTACATCACCTAGATAATGGCATCAAACGCCATTATTTAAGATTCATCCTTTTAACACTATAAAGCTGAAAAATTGAATATGCTGGAAAAAGAGTGGTCCACTTAAAGTTGATCATGCTTATTAGCTTAGTAAACAATACAAAATGAAAAGAAAAAATAGTCCATTTGGTTTTTTTTTTTAGAAACATTCTGAAATTTAAAAATATTAGCCAAGTTTATATCTTACTTAAGTTGCTTTGCCTAACTCTTAAAAGATCTGTAGTATTTTATATACCAAAATTACATCAATACAAATTACAGTGGGAAAGAATGAATTTTGAAGTATTACAACTATAAGTTTTGATTGATTTAATTTCTTGGAAATGACAGCTATAGTGAGCTTTATTTTTTTTTTTAAGTTATAAATGGTCTCAATATTGAATTCTTTGTAAAAAAAATTTTTTTCCCTTGAACTCAAAATAGCACTTTTGATTATCCTGCATGGTATTATTTGTCTGTGTCTATTTTCTGGTTGAATTCAACTGATGTCTGTGCATTTTTTCATAAAAGGATATGAAAAATCCCGAAGCTTAAACAACATAGCGGGCTTGGCAGGCAATGCTCTGAGGCTGTCTCCAGTAACATCACCCTACAACTCTCCTTGTCCTCTGAGGCGCCCTCGATCTCCCATCCCATCTATTTTGTAAACCAAACTGCATCAGTCGGCTAAATTGTATGAATTCGAGTACTGTTTACCCCAAAATGGAAATAAGTAAATGTAGAGTTACTCCAGGCTCCATTAAATACAGTTTCAATCCTGCATGATACTACTTTTTGAAGTCAGAAATGCCACTTGGGTAGCTCACAAATCTTCTCCTGGCTATAAAGATTATCTAAAGTAGTGATACTTCTCCATATTAATTACCCTGCTCTCCTTTCGCAATAAAATGACAGGTAGTGTCAGATATTGGCCAGTATGCTAATACGTAAACATATCTTCAGGGAGATATAATTAAAACAGTGTGCTTCCAAACACCGGTCACTTCATTGGACCTTCATTTCTCGTGACTCTAAACCATTTTGAAGATGTTTGGGATCCTATCTTGATTGCACACAACATGACTTTGGTCAGCTCATTTGCATGGACCATCTTGTCTCTATCACCTGAAAGCAATGTCGCAGAGTTCGGGGACCGTGGATGGCTCAGGATATGTGTACCTGCTGATATGAAAGCACTGGTTGACTGTTCTGCATGTTGAATTGTGGGGCAGGGAGGGCGAGTTTCTCCTTGACATTTTTTTTCCTTATTCTTTGAAAGAAATATTTGTTTTAAACAGTTTAATTTCTTGGTTGATTTACTTTTCTTCAAAAATGCTGTATTGGAGTTCTGAATGTCTCTGGTTGTTTGCACACAGATAACTGCAAAGAGGTTGTCATTACTGGTTACACGCGAGCTGAGGCCAGAGCTCTTACTTAATGACTTGGGGAAGGCACAAAACATGAGAGAAAGGTAACTGCCAGCCAGGCTTGCATTGTTTAGCCAGGAATTGCTGCTTGGTATTAGAGTCATATATATATTTTTCCAATCCCAGGATTTGTCATCATTTTCAGAGGCAAAGTGCCAAATATCACCCAAAGCTCTCGTGTCTTTTTTTATCCCCTTCCTTTATTTTTATTTATTGATTTTTGTGCAAACATCAAAGATTGTTTTCACTGGAGGCTTTCTTGACCAGCCTTAAATTTCTGACTCACGGGATTAATCAGATTTTCAGGCAGTGTTGAATCAGGTGCTTTGTCCTGTATGGCGTTTTGTCCGTCTGTCTTAGCTCCCTGTCTTCAATGTATATGCCATCTGTCTTCATGAAGCACAGAAATGCCTTGATAAGATGTTCATGATTTTAGTAACGGGTCCTCTCCCCTGCGCCCCGCCTTCTCTGCTATTTGGAACAGCCTCTCTGCTTTGTGTGTAAATGGATGATGCCCTGTAGACTACCTACGTTAATCAGTACTGTGAACCTTTTTGATAAGCAGGATTTAAGCAGCAGTATCACCATTACATTTGGTTGCTGGCTGCAGTGTCAGTGTCTACTACCTAGCAACCAGCATTCATCACTACACTCCAGCAAAACCCCTAGGGAGTTTTATTCAGCCCAAGTGGAAGAAATTCTGTTTACAGTGTCCCGATGAATGCAATAGCAATAGTGTGTCCGGTGTATTGGGCATGTGAGGGAGGAAAAATGCCATACTATAAATTGAGGGATAAGCATTATTATTTCTAAGGCATTCAGGATCCTTGAGACTGTTGATTAATCCTTAATTCTCATGTTTATTTTTTGTGAGGAAGACAAATGTCATTTTTATTATTGATCACATAACGTCTATTATTCTCTAAGTCCTAAAGCATGAACTGCATGTCTGAGATTTTGTACGGCAATGTATTTACCCAGACGTACACATCTGATATTTAGAGATTCTGTGATCCTTTTAATGACACCACCCTTAGAAAGTTATAATTCCATATAGCTTTATGGTAAAGGAATTAATATACTGTCTGGTGCTGCTGTTATTGACTGCAGTGTTGTACAGAATTTATCATGGATTTTTGACTGCTGAAAAAGGGACAATGGAATTTAGCCATGCCAAGGACTGTACTGGAAACAGACTTCTGCTGCTGAATGTGCCCTGATGTGACCAGGTCGCACTCGGAAGAAGTCCCTGCGTCTTCATGAGGCATCTAAAGCTTAGAAAAGAACTGTGGCTGGAACTCATTTGGTGCTCCCCATATGAGTGGTCTGCTTGTGGACCTGCCGGGATCCATGAGACAATTGTAAATACCAACACGTGTGCATGGGTCAACAGCTTCAGCCATCTCACACCCAAGGAAGCCAAATTCATGATCAATATCTCTGAAGCTTCAAGTAAGGCCCATACCTCTGTGAATTGCCCCTCTTGGGCCTGCAGTAGATTGTGCTGTGAATCATACAAGGCAGTGATAATGGCGTAGTATAGGTGTGTCTTAATTTTCCTTATTTCTTCTTTGTTGTTTGAATCCATGAACATCGATGGTATCATTTTTTTATAAAACCATTTATGTTATCTGCTTGTCTTTTTGTGAAATTTTCAGTGCCTATTTATCAAAACTAACCTGTGTTTAGTCACATATTTGTTTAGTTCTGGGGAATCATTATGACTTTTAAAGAAAACTCACCAATGTTATTCATGGTTTAAGTGTTTTGTCATTGTTACCTCAATTATAAATATTACAGAAAATAAAATTCTGGCAACGAGAGTATTTTTTTATTAAATGATCAAGGAGTAATGTCAGTATATAGTAGAGTATTAATCAAATTATATCCTAAAATGTATATTTTGCATAAAAGAGATATTCTTCAATCAATTACTTTTTGTGAGTTTTGTGGCAACCGAAGCTTGTACTTGTTTAAAGTTGTTGTAGTTGAAACTGTGTAAGAATTCTTCATCTTGCTTAATCAATATTTCCAGAATCGATTAGTTCCCCTGGGATTCTGAATATAACATATAACCTAATTATGAACCCCTGTATTGTGGACCTTTTGTGAACATTTCAAGGTGCATGCACAACCTTGGTGATAACTGATGGATATGTAACTAACTGAAATGAAGAATAAAAGGCAAATAAGCTGGGGATAAACTTGAATCCTATCTGATTAAATTATTCATATTCTTTTCGTGGCTCCTCTCTTTGTTTTGGAATTTTCAACAGGCTTTACTATTTTTATGCTTCATGGTACCACAGCAGACGCTCACACATAATACAAGGAATTTGGGATGCAGGGATTTATGAACATACAGAGCTCTCACTTTCATTCAAGTCTTGGGCATGTAGCCTGTGTTTTCCTCTTCTAAATGCTTTGCCTGCCTAAGTTTCTTATAATTCTGAGATGGAATTATTATTAATTGTGATACTACCCAATATTTATATGGCATTTTATGACTAGTACTGAATTTTCATTTATATGTTCTGACTTAATCATCACAGCGATTCTGGAGGTAAATATATTTTGTTTTCATTTTGATGATGGTAAAGTTAAGGATCAGAGAGGCAGAACAGTTTACTTTTATTTTTGCTGCAGATGATCTTCTCTGCCATAGTTTCTCATGGTTTTAATATTTACTGAGCCTCTTGTAAATGCCTTATCTTCTAATATTTATACTGAACCTCTTGTGAATGCCTTCTCCATCTAAAGATGGCTTCTGTCTCACTTATGGGTAATGGACTTCTGTTTTGACAGCACACCACACATAGCTAACATTCCAGTATATGGTGAGGTTTTGTGTAAGTTTACCCTATAAAAGCTATGAAGCTATCGGGATTAAGGGAAGGGTAAAGTGAAAAAGAGAAACGAGGTTGGCAAATCCAACACTCTCCTATTATGCATCAATAGAATCTTTGCCATGTCTAAAAATGCTCCGAGTTGATTAAGAGTCTATTAAGACTGAGTTCATAAAAGGAATATGTCTAGATGTAATTACTGATAAAATGTTTTTAACTGTGGTGTCAGAATGTAGGATTTACTGTAAAGAGGAAAAATGCACAAGAAGAGGGAAAGAATGTGTTTTAATAGATGATAATTACCATCAATTTTTTATTAAAAAATCAAGATTAAATAGTCATGAATGAAAAGTGAAGATATTCATTTTATCTTTGAAATAAATCACAAAACAGACTAATGGAATAGCAATAGTGAACTTTCTTGGAAAGAGACAATGAATATGTTAAAAGGCTATATTACAAAGCAGGGACTCTGGAGGATTTATACCATGCTTGAAGACATTTAGAGCTAAATGAATCTATTAAAATATTGAAATCCCGAGCAGTTTATGATGATTAAAATATGCAGCTTAAATTTTTTTCTTACTGACAAAAATTGTCTCTCTTCCAATTTCCCCTGCCAAAATTCAGTTAATTGTTTAAATTCTTGAATATTATTAAATTATAGATATATATTAATTTTCTCTAACATGGATTCAGTATCATTCATATTGACACTAAATTTAATAATTTCCTGTTCTCCCCTAAACTAACTCTATTTCAAAGATATGATATTTTTCATCATTGTCTAAAAATTAAATAATTGTACTGAATTAGTATTTCTTGATGTTTTTCTTTAATTTTTTTATGTTTTATTATATGAAATTTATTGTCAAATTAGTTTCCATACAACACCCAGTGCTCATCCCAAAAGACACCCTCTTCAATGCCCATCACCTACCCTCCGCTCCCTCCCACTCCCCATCAATCCTCAGTTTGTTCTCAGTTTTTAAGAGTCTCTTATGCTTTGGCTCTCTCTCCCACTCTAACCTCTTTTTTTTCTTTTTTTTTTTTCCTTCCCCTCCCCCATGGGTTTCTGTTAAGTTTCTCAGGATCCACATAAGAGTGAAAACATATGGTATCTGTCTTTCTCTGTATGGCTTATTTCACTTAGCATCACACTCTCCAGTTCCATCCACGTTGCTACAAAGGGCTATATTTCATTCTTTCTCATTGCTACATAGTACTCCATTGTATATAGAAACCACAATTTCTTTATCCATTTATCAGCTGATGGGCATTTAGGCTTTTTCCACAATTTGGCTATTGTTGAGAGTGCTGCTATAAACTTTGGGGTACAAGTGCCCCTATGCATCTTGATATTTTTCTTTATCATATTGTCATGGCAAAGTGAAGGATCGCTGAATATGCATTTTGAACAGCAAGATCTTCAAAGACTTTGGTGATTTCCAGTTAGAATCCCACATAACCTAATGCTATTTTTTTAAATAGACTATTTTTTAGAGCAGTTTTAGGTCTATACAAAATTGAACAGAAAGTAGAGAGAGTTCCCATTTACCCCCACCCGACACATGCACAATCTTCCTACTGTCTGCGTCCCACACCATGGTCATGTATTTGTCACACTCTATGGACCTACAAAGACATATAATTATCACCCAAAGCCCATAGTTTACATAAGGGTTCACTCTTGGTGTTGTACATTCTATGGATTTTGTTAAGTGTGTAATGACATGTGTCCACAATTGTAATATCATACGGAATAGTTTCACTGCCCTAAAAATCCTCTGTGCTCGTCCCTTCTTTCCCCTTAACCCTTGACACCCACTGATATTTTTACTGTCTCCATAGTTTTGCTTTTGCAGAATGTCATATATTTGGGCTCATACAGTATGTAGTCTTTTCAGATTGACTTGTTTCACCTAGGAATATGCATTTAAAATTTCTTCTTGCCTTTTCATGGCCTGATAGCTCATTTCCTTTTAGTGCTGAATAATATTCCAGTTTTTGAATGTATCCCAGTTTATCCAGTCACCTACTGAAAGACATCTTGGTTGTCTCCAAATTTTGACAATCATGAATAAAGCTGCTGTAAACATCTCTGTTAGGTTTTTGTGTAGATACAAGGTTGTGATCCATTGGCTAAATACCAAGAGCACAATTGCTGGGTAATATGGTAAGAGTATGTTAGTTTACACTCATTTTTAAAATTTGGTTCTCTTCATTTCCTCAATGCCAATAATGTGGACTACACACAAATTATTGATAAATCTGCTGTTTCATTTCAATAAGTAAATAGATTAGTTGATTATCTACCAGCAGATTCTTTCTCCTTAAAAATAGCTTTTTTTTTTTACAAAATATAAGCAAAGCTTCTACAAAAATAAAGAAAGTTAAATATAATTCCATAATGTTCTACTCCACAAACCAAATGGTTTCATTTTGTTGGTTTGCCTTTTTTCCTTTTGTTATTCTCATTTTGTAATATTAATATAATGTGTGAGTGTGGGTATGTGTGTGTATTTTACCTTTCATTTCAGTCATGCTTCAGTTTGGCCTTTTACCCCTCTAGCCTCAGTTCATTCTTGCTCAGGCACTGTATTCTCACTCCGTGCGGTCTCAGGGAAGCACTGCAGGGCCACACAATGATCACATCATCCTTGCCATGGAAGAACTCCATCTAGTATGTTGGTCCCTTTCTGGCTCTGCATCAGAAAAAATTGTTGGGGCCCTTTAAAAATACACATGCCTGTGGGGTGCCTGAGTGTCTCAGTCAGCTAAGCGTCCACTTCAGCTTAGGTTATGATCTAGCAGTTGGTGAGTTCGAGCCCCTCATTGGGCTCTGGGCTGACAGCTCAGAGCCTGGAACCTGCTTCAGATTCTGTGTCTCCCTCTCTCTGCTCTTCCTTCCCCTGCTCATGCTCTCTCTCTCTCAAAAATACAATAAAAAATAAACATTAAAAATTTAAAATAACTAACTAAATAAACACACACACACACACACACACACACACACACACACACACCTCTGTGCTCAGCTCTAAATCTTTTGAAATTATCTCTTGGGATGAGGCCTGGACATATATATTAGCTTTAAAAAGTAAAGTCTCATGTGTATGTATTATTAAATAAAACAAAGAACAAACACCCCACAGGTCTTTCTCCTGTCTAACATGGCCTAATGTAAGATAGATACTTGAACTTAATAGAATAACATTTTTTCTAAACATTTTGCACATAGGTGTATTGTTTTAGCAATTAAAATGTAAAAAGGATGCATAATATCCCATTAGGTTAATGTTCTATATATATTCATTGCCCTCAGCTATTCATGATTTCTATTTCTTTTTCCTGTTTTCTATTATAAATCACAAAGCATTGACCATTTTGTCAATGGTCTTTGTATATTTTTGTATATTTTATTTTGTGGCAAGGAGGTTTTTTTTTTTCTTGAAGGTTATTCCTCAGGGTGACTGGGTGGCTCAGTAGTTTAAGCATCTGACTTCAGCTCAGGTCATGATCTCACAGTTTGTGGGTTTGAGCCCAGCTTTGGGCTCTGTGCTGACAACTTGGAGTCTGGAGCCCTCTTTGGATTCTGTGTCTCCTTCTCTCTGCCTTTCCACCACTCACTCTCTCTCTCTCTTTTTCTTAAGAATAAATAAACCTTAGGGGCGCCAGCGTGGCTCAGTTGGTTAAGCATCTGACTTCAGCTGAGGTCATGATCTCATGGTTTGTGAGTTCGAGCCCCATATTGGGCTCTGTGCTGACAGCTCAGAGCCTGGAGCCTGCTTCAGATTCTGTGTCTCCCTCTCTCTCTGCCTCTCCCCTGCTCATGTTCTGTCTCTCTCTGTCTTTTAATAACAAATAAATGTTAAAAAATTTAAAAAAAAAGAATAAATAAACCTTAAAAATATATTTAAAAAAATATTCCCCAAATGGAATTATTGGCTTAAAGAGTATGAAAAATTTTATGAGCATACCTTAAAAACTACTTCCCCATAGTCATATAATGTTGTATTTCATCAGCAACAAATCAAATTGACATTATCAGGACAATTTTCTTAGCTGCATTACAATGTGAAAAAATATTCTTTTGCTTAGAGTTATTTTATGTAAATGATTACACTAACATGAATCAAATCATTTTAGATTTTATAAATGTCATGTGTCCACTTACCTTATAGTTAGCACTCATTTATTAGCACACCAGCCACATATCTTTTCTCTGGAAATTCTTTTTTTTCATTTTGGAGCCAAATTTCAAATTTGGAATCAAATATGATGTATTATTGTTTATAAAATAGTGTGCATGTATTGTAGACCCATTGAACTTATATTTTCATTTTTCAGTATATTTCTCATAGTAAAAAAATGAGATAAGGGCATTCCATATA